AATCAAATCGTGAGTTGAGTGAATCGTTACATCCCTACTGAAAAGTATAGAAAAAAATTCTCATGTTCAGCGTTATTTGTGTGGCCTACAAAGGTCCTGTCCATATAGAGACTGTTCGAGTTTTATTAAAATTACTCATTGGTCTTCCACAGTAGCAAACCTTTAGATCAAAATAACCACAGTTCAATACAAATGTAATTATATATTGAACTCTTTTTATCATTTTATTGAGGAAAATTATATTGCTATAATTATTGTTATCGTTTTATCGCCCAGTCTTAATGCTTAATAAATAAAAGTATGGATTTCTCTTTCTTTCTTTTTTTACATTTCTTTAAACAAAATCCTTTGAACAGTAGTGTATATATCCATAACAGGACAATTTAGTGTTATTTAAACTGTTTGTTTTGCTTTTTTCATATTTTAATATTTAACGTCTGGATCTGGGATAAAGGTAAATCAAAAAGTAGGTTTTAAAGTGGTAATATGACAAAGAAGTTAAAATGTATTTGTGTTACTAAAAAGAATCAAACCCTGGGATATAAAACTGGCTGAAGATGAAGAAACACTTTTGTTTTCTGTGGTGGGGAAATGGGACTTACTCAGCGATGTCGAGGTATCCGCAGGAAGCGGCAGCGTGAAGGGGAATCCAGCCTTCATTGTCGGGCTGGTTGATGCAGGCTCCATGCTCCACCAGGAAGGTCACCATGTCCACATTGTCATCTATGCAGGCCTGGAAAAGAGAAGAAATGAGTTAACATCTAAGCAAGAGTACGGTCTAGCCATTTAGCATCTTGCAGAGTAAACCTTTTCAAATCATTGATCCTTTCAAAACAGTATTCATGCAATATTTAGGCTAGCATTTTAGTCTGGATTAAAAGCCTTAGCAAAACAGTTTCATAAACCCAAATGTGAGCTTCAGAGCCAAACATTAATCTTCAGTGGGAACCTATTCCTCTATACAAAGACACATTATATCATCAGGTAACCAAAATGCCTTGAGGGAAATAAGGAGGTCTGTAAGTAACCACTCGATGACACAAAAGAGCTTGAAATAGACTAGCGTTGTCACTACAGTGACTATATATTAGGGCTGGGCGATATGGCCAAAAAAATTAACATCTAAGCAAGAGTACGGTCTAGCCATTTAGCATCTTGCAGAGTAAACCTTTTCAAATCATTGATCCTTTCAAAACAGTATTCATGCAATATTTAGGCTAGCATTAGATTAAAAGCCTTAGCAAAACAGTTTCATAAATCCAAATGTGAGCTTCAGAGCCAAACATTAATCTTCAGTGGGAACCTATTCCTCTATACAAAGACACATTATATCATCAGGTAACCAAAATGCCTTGAGGGAAATAAGGAGGTCTGTAAGTAACCACTCGATGACACAAAAGAGCTTGAAATAGACTAGCGTTGTCACTACAGTGACTATATATTAGGGCTGGGCGATATGGCCAAAAAAATTATCACGATAATTTTTTTCATATCAGTCGATATCGATAATTATCACGATAAATGTCAAATCTTTATTTCTTTCCAGTTTAAAGCCAGATTTTTGCTCCAAAGTGAAAGTTGTAGAAACCAGACCATTCAATTTCCTTAACAAAATGAATAGAATATCTACATGAATATCTAAATAGAAAAATCTATTTCTTAGTTTCTGCATGTTCTAATGAGTGATTTTGTTTCAAATCAAGAAACAGGTTTGGGTTGCCTGATAATATTAATAATATCGCTTTTTGTCTCTTAGAAATGCACATTTGATAGTAACTTGAGATAGGATGCAGAGGTAAATTTTTGTGCATTACCAAAATCAGTAGCATCTGTAAAAATTGTAGCAACCTCAGTTTTTTTATGGTTACATTTATTCTGACCAAGTATTTATTTTTTATTTTTTTAATTAAGCATTGGTCTCCCATAGTAGTATACATTTAAATCATGATAAACAGAGATAAAACCACACATATAGCACCTCAATACCATGGTAAAAATATAACTAAAAACAGTAGTCTAAATTCAGTATAAATGCACACATGATATAGCTTAATCACAAATACATACTACAATTATATAGCATTAAGTTACTCTTGTAATAAAATTCAGTGTAAATATCCCAAATTTCTGCCACAATACCATGGTGCAGTGAGTGTTACTACAGTAAATCCATGGTAAATGATTGCGATGTGTAGATTGAAAAGCCTTCTGACTGTCTCGTTGCACAAAGTGTTTCTCCTGTTTGGCTTTAAACTAGTTTAAATGAGTCATTTGTATTCATCGCTCTATTCGAGCTTCACACTGGATCTCACAGCGCTGTTTAGTGCTCGCGTGACCGAGTAAACGCATCTGCTCTTGTGAGCTCGCGTCACGCTGCAGTTTGAACTTTGATCCGAGCGGATAAACGGCCCGTGTGGCACGATTCAAATGAGTCGCACTGTTTCGTTCCGCTTTTGGCGCATAAACATTATATCGAACTCTTCATATCGTTTTATCGAGGAAAATTATATCGCGATAATTATCAAATTATCGCCCAGCCCTACTATATATACACACACAGTTCAAACGTTTGGGCTCAGTACGATTTTAAGAAATAAATGCTTTTATTCAGTAAGGACACATTGAATTGTGCAAAAGTGACAGTAATATTTCGCAAAATTTACTGTACTTTTGTATCAAATAAACGCTGCTTTGTTGAAAAAAAAATACAACTGACAGAAAAATATTAACTTCAGCCATTCAGTTTCAAATAAAACACTTTCTTCCTTCCTAAAGTCGGCAGAGACAGTTTTTTGTCATGGCAATCATGTGAACTGCCTAATTATCTTGTGTTTTGAGCGGGGCTTTCAGTGCCCATTATCAAACTCAAACACCTCACAGTCTAAACTCTGCGACCTTGACTAGTGTCCAACCTCGGTTCTCCATGTGCTGCCCTCTTGAACGGCTGCCCGTAAAAGCTCCTGGTTGCCATGACTATACCATAGACAAAGAGGGAAACACACAAACCAGCCTCACGTTCAGGGCACACGACTATCTGGTTGAAATCCTTGCCCAAATTTGGGCTGTTTACAGTACCGCAGTAGAAACGTGTGGGCCTCTTTGCTCTTATCAGGGCCTTGTCAAGCTAGAAGTAGAGGAAACCAGGACTGTCCAAACAGCTAGCTTCAAGGAATTTGAACACCTTTTACAGGTCTGATGTGGCTTTTTTTTTTTTGTACACAGCCTTCATCATGAAATCTAAATGTTCAAAACTCCTTTTTTTTGTATGGAATATTGCAGTGTTTATTATAAATGATTTCTGTATACACGTTTTTTTTTATTTAAGTGACAACAATCTTAAACCAAAAATATTAACTTCCCCTCCCCGCACAATGACATCTCTCCTCTCATGACGTTCGCACCGGGACAACAACCACTCCTCACCAGCAAAGTGTCAATCACATGAGATCTCAGCAATCACAATCCCATGATCCAAACAATTTCCAATGGATAAAATCAAGCACAGTCCTAATTATTTTCTACGAAGGACTACACAGAAGCAATTTCGTTAGCTAAATTAGCTTAATAATGGTACTCGGTTCTGTGCTTGATATGAAATCTAATATATAAACTACAAAATCATTTAAATAAATTAATGTCTTTTATATTAGTTTACATAATAGTATATAATCAAAGCTATAAATGTCTATGAAACAATTAAACATTTTAGCTAGCTAAATGTACACTGACATAAGTTTAGTTAGCATATGTTTAGCAAACTATGTGCTCCGCTTATTAGCTTACTATACCGCTACCGGATTCGCCTTCTAACTTACACTTCGCCTGTCCTAACTACACGCGATGCAACAAGATTCCAGCGACAAACAATTTGGCTGTCCACGCCAGACGCGACGCAACAACTTGACGCGACAGAATCAATCAAACATCACAGCCAATCAAAAGCGTGTGTGGGTGGGCTCTCTCCAGAAGCGCACTGCACTAGCAATGAAATGGATAAGTTTATAATCTAATTCATAAATATTAAACCTTTTTAACATTATTAAATGTGCATACTGAGTGACTGATACCATTTTTGTTATGAAATACGGTTCGCAGTTTTAACACATGTTTCCTTTCATTTATTTTCAAGATCTGAGGTAAACTATCTGTTGTTGCTTTCGGTTTGGCTATAAAATGTAATGCAATATGATATTCAAACTCACATTAGACACATTTAACATTGAATAAAGCAGATAATCAGTACCTGAGATTATCCCTGGCACAGAAATAGAAACCGTTTCTAAAATAGAAATTTTGTAAATAAAAACTCTGATTAACATGGAAAAGATACCTTTTACCGAGTGTCGCGGCATCGCGTCGTGTGTAGTTAGGACACAGTGTTAGACTATACCCTGCAACAAATTTTAATGTTTTATACATTTTGTTTACTTGGGCTTTAGAAATGGCTACCTCCTGGGATCCTAGGTGGACTCGACAGGAAGAGCAAAACGAACTGACCACGGCTCTCAACCAACCAGCCAATAACCACAAGGTCTCCTAAGCCTTCAGCAGACAGATAGCAGTTTTTTTCTGTTGATTAAGACTTTGGCAAAAATAATAACGTAGTGAACAAGACTTAGGGCTGCACGATTATGACAATCATAATTGTCGATTATTTCCTTGAAATTGTAATTGCGATAATTAATTACAATTATCACAATTTACATTGAATGAGGTTTATACCATTGTTTGATGCAACTGCATGCCGTATTTTTATATGAAAATAAACAAGCTGAAAACACTCTAACTGAAAAACCTTTAGTGCTTTTCTGTAGTATTAAGCCTCAAATGTCAACTATACATCGGATTGGTTTCTTCTTTAAATTATAAAACAAGTAAAAAATATGAATGGTATTATAATGTTATACTAAAACTAAAACAATGGAAAAACCCTTAAGATAACATGTAGAAAGAAAAAAACATATCTTAAGCGTGCAGAATAACATAAGTGGACTTTGAACGATTAATTGCCGCTTTGAACGATTACGTAATTGTGGCATCCATAATTGTAATCGCGATTAGAAATTCAATTAATTGTGCAGCCCTAGAACAAGTCTGACCTATTAAGATTGATTCAAACTGCTCTTTTTAAATGATTCATTAAAAAACAACTAGCACAACAATCACAAAAGAAATATACATCATTGTATTGGGGAAGTCGTGGCCTAATGGTTAGAGTCGGACTCATAACCCAAAGGTTGTGGGTTCGAGTCTCGTACCGGCAGGGATTGTAGGGGGGGGGGGGGGAAGGACAGCGCTC